AAGAATGCTTTCAGCACCTTGTTGAATCAATGCCACGTAGAATTAAGGCAGTTCTGAAGGCGAAAGGGGGTCAAACACCGTATTAATATGGTGTTCCTAATAATCCTTTAGATGAGTGTATATAGCCTATAGCCTATGTATGATACGTTTTTTTTTTTTAATAAGTTATCTTTTTTTTCTTTTAATCTACCTTTAAAAGCTGCGAGTTTGATTGGATTAAAAATTGCCTAAATAATATATTATATATGTTTAAATGAGCCTTTGACCTTTTGGTTGTATTAATAGACCATAAATATTCCGTATTGTACATTTAGTTTGAGTCAACAACCCTTACATGAAAAATATAATAGTGCCGAATACTTCGTTGACCACAAGAACAAAGGATATGCATCAGCCACATGAAATGTATATACTGTAGATCAAACAAGTGATGAAAAATAAAATAAGACACCATATGCCAACCCTTTAAACGACGGAGTATATATCTAGCTACTGCTGGATATCTGCCGCAAATAAATCGATACTTTTTATATAATCTGGTCACGCATACGTGGCAGCTACATACTTGTATCATCTTACTGTGCTCGGGTGCCACCGCTACGGTAACTGGCGGCTTTCCTGGACTGACACTTTATACGCGATTTATAGATGAATAAATTGACGAATACGGAAATCGCACCTTTTCGCACCTACGGATCCCGGGTCCGTGAGCCGAGATTTGGCGTGTGATCACGTGAGGGGAGGGGGGGTGGTAAAGGAGGAATAAGCGGCGGATTGCGGCACAGAGACGGAGCCATGGAGTAATGGCATTCGAACCCGCCTGTGTTTACCGAGTTTGTCTGGCTGATTTGCCTTGATAAGTGCAATGTTTAGGAAGCTCATGATCGCCTGGAGATGACCGGCGACGGGCCTGCTTGTACGCTTTAATTTAAAGGACACTTCTTTTATTATCCAGGCCACTGCTTACTGTCCTTCTATTGCCGACAAAATGCAATGAACACTTCTGGAAAGTGGTTGGTTTTCATACCCAGGGTGAGTCTTTTTGGATTTAAACGATCGAGTGTCGATCTTACGGCTTTTGCACGAATAAACAAATGATTTGAAGTTGTTGGATTTTCCTGATCGCTTCTAGGAGAAAACCTAGCCTGCATTTTCTTTTGAAACGCCCAAGTGTGATACGTGGTCTATTTAATCTTTAACAAGGAACTTTTGCTTTTAGTGATTAGCAGTTTTGTGGATTAAAATGTTTGCCTTTTGTCCTGTTTTTTCTTATTTCTTTGTCTGTTTCAAAGCATAGTTTAATTTCACGCATTTCGTGCGCAGGCATTTGTGGAAAATGAGCCAATTCTGCTTGAAGGCGGGTTTGTTTTGCTTGTTAATATTTTTCCCCACAATTGATCTTTTACTACATCTTAAAGGCCACCAAAGCTCAAGGCATAAGAATGTAATACGTCAGCCTTGTTAATCTCGCATACATGATCTTGAAAGCGGTAGTTACTGTGTTTAGATGGGGCTCGTAACAACTTTGTACGAGAAAGATCAATAGTACTAATCTTCATTATTAATGTGTTTCTGTTTGTAATCACGTTGGTTCGTCCATTTTTGAATTTGGTGTCATTTGGAAGTCCATCTTTATTAGGCTATCTGAACGGATTTTGGAGAATCACGGCAATTTATAATCGGCTATTAAAAGGCCTTTTTTTAATTCCTTTTTTTTTTTTTTTTTTTTTTTTTACTTTAACTCATGTATAAATTGCATGTGTTGACTTCGGATGTTTTGTTGGATATGAGACGGTGCAAGTGTACCGTTGCTGCATTATAGGAATATCTTACGCTTTGAATGTTTTTAAAACATTTAGTAGGTTTATTGAAATAAGACTGTGTTACTGATTAGTGTCAGCACTGTCCTGATTTGGATTGTGCTGGGGACTTTTGACAGCTTTAACGACTTGGCATTTGACTGGTGCATTTAATTCTGAATATTTTGTGTATGCCCGTAATAGTATACTTGAGTTTTGCTCCCTGTCAATTCGCAATAATCTCACGTTGTACAGGGTGCCTGGTTTTAACCAAGCCTGCGTGCTTCACGATACTGTTGTAGCTGTAGCAGGGGTTTCAAACTTTTCTTAAATCTGGGATTCCCAAATATGTGTTTTTGTGTTGCATACACTGGATGACTATATCAATATTTGGTCAATTTAGAGTATGTTTCTGCAGACCCCTGCAACTGCTGTCCAGACCCCCAGGGGGTGGTGGACGCGAGGTATAAACCCTGTACCCTACAGCAATGTTACTGAAACTGGTCCTTGGGGACTCCATGACAGGCCACATTTTTGCTACCAGAAGCTGGTCAGGAGCAAAAACGTGGACTGTCTGTGGTTTCCCAAAGACCGGGTTGGGAAATGTGCTCTGCAGGACCCTGTATAAGTAAGGTTCTGGTTGTTGATGTCTGGAAATCTCTACTTGAAACAGTGAAGGAGGGGGTCGATGTTCAGCGGGGGGGAGTGACCTTGAAGACACGAACCACCATTATGGGTGTCCTGGCCATGGTGTGAGGTGAGTCCTTTCTTCAGAGTAATGCCCACATGGCTGCATATTTTCATGCTTGTTTTACATCTTTGAAACCGTGCCTTACAGTTTAGAGATCATTCTTCCACATTAGGGATGGGTATCATGAGGATTTTATCAATATCGATAACGATACTGGAAGCTGAATACTTTTGTATTGATTATTTTACTAGTGAAATTACAATTGAAATATTTTCAATTGAAATATTCAATATTTAAAATTACATTCACATTAAATTACAGCCCCTAAATATTCAAGCATTATTGAATGCAATGCATTTTTTTAAGCATTGCTTAATGCAATGCATTTTTATTTGGTTAGTGTAATTCAGCATGCTTTTTTGCATCAGCGACTTTTGTCATTAATTTATTTCCATAAGCATTACATTTACTAAAGTGAGCCCAAACTTTTGAAGGCTTTACCTTATCTGTCATGACGACTGGAGAGGACAGTATATAATCTCTCACCTATGCATCTAAAATGTGATCACATGACACCTGCAGTATCATTATTATTAGGGGACGGTTTAGAATTAAAAAATGGTGCTATGTTACGGTGCTTTTCCACTGCAACAGGTACAGAACTTATGGTATGGTACTTTCGGTACTTTCCCTTTTCCGGTGATCTCCATTGACCAGTCACGTACCAGTACCAAAAGTTCCGGTACTGAAAGTGCCAAACTGGGGTGGTACTTGAAATGCTTTCTTTGTTGATTGGTCATGCGAATATACTGCCTGAAACACAATACAACCACTGTCTTGAAAAGTTTACAATAAAAAAGTAATAATGGATGCGTGGACAGAATCCCCAAACTTTAATTGTGATCTAGAAGAACTGATCCAAGATCAGGATTGCAGGGACAAGAAATAAAGTATTATGTATAATATACTAGGGTGGCACGGTACTTTGTTGTAATAATTATTGGGGTATTCATAAAGCAAAAATGGAGATCAACATAAATTTTAAACATCAAGGATGAAAATGATTATGATTGCGTTCTCTGAGACATGCAGCGCTCATGTAAAAACTGCGGCGGTAAACTATAAGCTGATTTTTCAACATATTACATAATCTATAAAAGGAATAACAATTAAATTGCAAAGCTAGCTATGTTTTTTCCTGTGACAAAGTAAAAATTCCCTGCGCTATAATGTCTGTACAGAACTGAAAATAAAAAAAAAAAGCCTGATCTTAATCTTGCTATCTAGCAATGTGCATAACATGCGATGTTGGTATTAATATCTCATACCGTCCAGCTGTTTAATGTGCTATAGCCTTTTTCAAATTCAGTACAAAGTACACCGCCCTGCGTTGTGATGTTATTCAGCGCCGGTACCGGTTTTTACACCAGTGGAAAATCAACAAATTCTTTAAGTACCAAAAGTAAAGTACTTGGTGTGGTGGGAAAGCGCCCTTAGAATGAATTAATGGCAAAAATACCAATAGTGGCACCATTTGTCCAGGAGCTTATCGATAGTATCGGTATCGCCCAGTCCAATTCAGTATCGGTTCTTGATACCCATCCCCATTCCACATAAAAGAATGTTTTTAGTTCCTCCAGTGACTTTGTGTGTTTTAATGTCAAATTAGGCTTTAAAGTCTGAAGCAAAAAATTGATTTTTTTTTTTTTTTTTTTACCGCCTCCCCCCCACCAATGTTGTAGAGTCACCACCAGGGGGGGCCATGAAGCTGAACGAGCGCAGCGTGGCTCATTATGCCACTTGTGACTCCCCACCTGACAAGACTGGCTTTCTGTATAAGAAGGGGGAGCGCAACACGGCCTACCACCGGCGCTGGTTCATCCTTAAGGGTAACATGCTGTTCTACTTTGAGGACCGGCTGAGCCGCGAGCCCATTGGAGTCATCGTGCTGGAGGGCTGCACCGTAGAGTTGTGCGAGTCAGTCGAGGAGTTTGCCTTCGCCATCAAGTTCGACTGTGCCAGGGCCCGCATCTACAAGATGGCTGCCGAGAGCCAGGCCGGCATGGAGTCGTGGGTGAAGGCGCTGTCGCGGGCCAGCTTCAGCTACATGCGGCTGGTGGTGCAGGAGCTGGAGAGGCAGCTGGAGGAGATGCAGGAGGCCGGGGCGGCGGCGGCACTGCAGGGCAGGCCCCGGTCAGGCAGGAAGTCATTCCAGCAGGGGAACCGGCCCAAGGCCACGGCGCCAGCTGGCCCAACTCGCAGCCACCATGAGGAGATCCTCCTCCTGCCTGGAAACTCCAAGGAGAACGGGGTGGCCTGGAGCAAGCCTGCAGCCCTGCCAAATGGCTGTGAGGGGCCCGCACCCTCCCAGGGCTTGGAGCATGGTGCCGATGGACCTCCCCCAGTTCCGCCCCGCAGGCGGGGAACTTCTGCACTCTCGACCTCCTCCTTGGAGAGCCCCGTTTCACCCGGGACCGGCTGCTTTGCCAGGCTGCACGAGTGGTACGGCAAAGAGGTGGCTGAGCTGCGGCAGGAGTGGCTGCAGAGTCAGTGAGAGCCCGTCCCCTTGGCACGCTGGCGTCCAATCAGATTCAGGGCAGCATCTGCCAGACCTGAACACCTTAAATCCTTCCACTTTTTCACTACAACTCTTCTAATACTTTTAGCATAAATTGTGACTCATTACCCTGTCACCTGATTGTCCGACTGGGTATTTTTTAAGTGTTTTTTTTTTTCTTTTTTCCAGGAACGTGTGAATTTGAGGATCTGGTTCCTTTGTTGGTTTTACTGGCATTACTGTTATTTTATAGAGACAAACACACTGAAAATGGTGACAGTTTTCTTCATTGTTGTGTGTCATGTTTGTTTATGTAAGTCTGTACCATGTTACCTTTTTCAAAACATTTTTAAAGGCCAAATATCAGGAGTGCAGGTGATGGACCTGCAGATGGGGCTTGACCACTCCAGTCCTTTTTGTAGTTTTCAGTATAGTATAAATATTGGTTTGAGCATTGGGGGATAATTAAGGCTCACAGCCAATGATCCTTGTGCTGTCCATAGAATTTTAGCCTATCTAACTGACCACAGTGCAGCGTAACGACCCTGTGGTCTCTAAAGGGGTACAGTCACCATGATTCGTGCCTTTTTAAGTTGTAAATGCTATTTCTCATCACTTGCTTTATCCTGTGACCAGTGCCAAAACATTTAATCTGTGGGGAAGCTTCTTGCATGTTTCATGCGTGTTCTCCTGTTAAAGCGCACAGCTACATCTGCTACAGCATTTAATATTCCGATGTAAAACTGAATTAGCCACATATGTGTACAGTGCTGATGGGAACCCGACAGATTCCGGGTTTGAGGGGACCTGAAGTCGCAGTTCCTGTTTGAAGATGTGCCACTTTGTCTGAATTACAGCACTTCTGCAAAGACTGGCTGAAATGCCTCTAGCCTGGAAAAAGTGATGTCAGATTGTAGGAAGTTCTTGCCACTAAAGGTGGTGCAACTTGTTTTTAAGTTTATGGGGGAAATATTATCCAAAACATATATAAATGGTGTATTTTCCCTAAAAAAAAAAAAAAGGAAAAAAAAGAAATTTTTGCTCTAGTCCCCTTTGTCTAATTACGTTTTGTTTAATGATCTGAATCCAGTCTGACTAACATGCAAGGTGAAATCTGGATAATACTTTTACATGGCACTGTATAATATAGTAACATATTAGACACAATACACCAATGATCATATTTTAAGTGTCATTAAAACTTCTTAAACTTTTTTTTTTTTTATGTAAAAAAAAGCTCCTCACCAAGGAAATGGTAAGAGAGGTAAGAAAACACACATGCTTATTGCCAGTTTGTATAAGGGGACAAATGCAATAAATGCACGAATCAAGCTGTAATTTTTATTCTTGTTTTCTTGGAGTTTTCGTTGGTTCCACAATGCGGTGAAAAAGCAGGTGGTTCTGGTTCCTATAAGTTCTTCTTAAATTGTGACTGAAGTTGACTACCTGAGTTGCCTGGAAAGGACTGACTTCTAGATAGTACTTTGCATTGCATGCTGCTGTAGAGTCTGGTTCTCTGACACTGACTGTATATTTACATTTACAGCAGACGTTATCATCCAGTGTGATGCACAGTTGAGAAAACTGAGTCAGCCAGTCCCTGGAGCAGTCGGGCTCAACTGTGAAGTAACTTTGCCAAACATGGAATTTAAACCAACAAACTTCTGATCTCAAGCACAGAGGTCTGACCCACAGCGCCACACAAATGGCAGTGTTAAACAATAAGCTATTCACAGCCTTAAACCTTAATGCTTCTTTGTTGCATATACAAGTTTCCGAATGTTTCAGCTGTAAACCACCTCATCTTTAACTCTTACTGTTCATTATTTTTGGAAAAAATAGGCTGCTTAAATTGCGACCTTGTTTGAATCGTAGGACTGACGTATTCAAACTGGACAACACTAATGGTGGGTTTGGTATTAAACCTTATCTCCTGAATAAGTGGTAAGTCTTGTCTCATTAAGTGGTGTTTTGTGTCTGTTTTCCTTTCATTATTTCCAGTAATACTAGTAATAGTGAAGTTTGCCAAGTACCAGATGGATGGCTGTGTTGGGAAAGATTGCTGCATACAAACAAATGTCATGCAGGGTGGTTTGTAAAGGACAAAAAAATATGCATAAGTGGAGGAAATATATTTCAGTTATACTAACTTTAAGGATACAAGAGAAGTGGAAATGCATCTGACTTTTACAATTGATAATGTTGTAAAACTGGTGTGTATTTAAAAAGAATGAAAAATGCAAATCATAAAAAAATAGTCATTGCTAGGAAACTCTTTTCCAGCAGCACAATGAGTCCAAGGAGACTTAATTAAAATAATCAGTAATTGACCACATGTTTAGTTTAAGGATCTGAAAACGAGAGTAATTTGCTCGCTCTCCTTGGTGTTAGGAGACAGGGAGCCAGTGTAAGGATCTGAGAACGGGAGTAATGTGCTCTCTCCTTGGTGTTGGGAGACAGGGAGCCAGTGTAAGGATCTGAGAACGGGAGTAATGTGCTCTCTCTTCTTGGTCTCTGTGGTGTTAGGATTCTAGCAGCAGCATTTTGAATGCGTTGAAGTTGTTTGATGGTCTTTTGAGGAGTACCAGTCAGGAGACCATTACAATAGTCCAGACCTCTATTCCAAATCCAGGCCTTGTTTTAAGTTCTCCCAGGTAGTTAGTTTAATAATTACTGATTCTGATTGGCCAGAGGCTTCACACCTGACTGACAGGTAAAGGAAGGCTGGAAAACCAGCAGTGCTTGGACCTCGAAGACCGTGATCGACAAATCAAAGACAGTGAAGAAGTGATCTGACACAACTGGATCCCTAATCTGTCGGAGGAATACTTACACCAAGTCACCAAGTCTAGTGTACGACCTTGAAAGTGAGTAGGATGATTAACATGGTTTCATGTGTCTCTTTCCCACAGTTCGGAAACATCATCTTTATGCTAAATACGCATGGGAGATGCAAAAAGCTCCTTGGTTAAACTTCATACATCACTTAATATGAAACTATATTGCTCTAAAAATGGCGCCATCCTTTGGATGAGATTTAAAGCTGAGGTTCTGACTCCCTAGGCATCTTTCGAAAGAGTAGGGGTGGTACCCTGATGTCCTGGCTAAAATTGCCCACTGTGGCCATTTCAAATATGGCCTCCTAACCTGCCCCTGTGTTTGACTGGTGAATTCTGCTACTGCAATTGGTTCTGTAAAGCACTTTGGGTGTATTGAAAAGCACTATATAAATGTAACATTCATTCATTCAAGATAATCTTTGCACTACGATGCATGACTTTTACAGTGCAAAATATGTTCTTTTTTCATAGTTAATGTAGCAAAAGACTCTAAGGTATCGGTATTCAAAGTAGCAGCACCAGAGCTAAAGACATATCTAGCTTACTAAAGTAATTGAAATTAATGCATTGGACAATCAACTCATTCGCCACTTAGAAGAAGTCTAAAAGTACCTGCCGGTGACGTGTCTACAATTCATTAGTACATCTGGCTAGCCAATCGAGCTTTTTCCACGGAAAAAATGATGTAAAGTCATTTAGCTAATCTGCTAATTATGTGTCACTCTCAAAGCTGTGCACCCCCACCCCCCCAATCAGGTAGTGCCTCCTTTGTGTGTTTGTTTGTTTTTTCTGTACAGTTCAGTGCACAGAAAAAATAGCGCCTTGTTATTCTTGTTTAATAATAAAAATTAAAATTAATGTTAAAAATTCTACTTTCCTTGTATACCATTAATAGCGTGTAATTTGTTTCCAATGGTAATATTTTTCAAAGAAGTTAACCTACATTCAAATGTTTTTTATCAAAATAACCAATTAATGGGAAAAAATCAAATCAGAAACTAAAGAAATCCTATGCATGTCATTGTTCCCTCAGTAACTGTAATTGAATCTAATCACCTTCCAACCAATGATTTACACCACTGACTTCACTGTTTTCTGAACTGTTGACAACGCCTGTTATATTGTTATACAGGTATTGTGTTCCAGTTGTGCAGAGGATAAATGGTATACAAGAGACCCGATCAACCCATGCGTCTCCTGGTATTGCGGACGACGTCAGACAGCAGCGATTACACATTGAACTGTAAACAGGATTTTCATTGATTTTACTATGGAAGTAAATTAATGACAAAAATCGTTGATGGGAAAAAAAACACGTTGAATTACACTTATCGAATAAAAACGCATTGCATTAATGACGCTTTGAATTTTTGGGGACTGTAATTTAATATGTACATACATTTAAACATTGAACATTTCAACTGAAAACATTTCAATCGTAATTTCATTGCTTAAATATTCAGTACAAAAATATTCAGCTTCCAAAATTCAGTTCCAAAAGATACGTATTTTAAAGTGCATGTTTATAATTCAACCACATGAATTCAGTTCATTTAATTTCGTATGGGCTGATATTTGTGCCACTAGAAACTAAATATGAATTTAATAGTTTGAATTTGAATTCCAGTAACTCGAAATAGCATTTATCCTACCTCGAAAAATTCAGTTTGCGAATTCAATTTCAATCTAGTGTGACATACCTAACTCGAGAGAGCATTCATCCTACCTCGAAAAATTCATTTTTGTAGAAATTGGAAATAAAAACTCTGACAATTTCTCACTAACAGTGACGCACGTCACTCTCTTTTATTAACTTGCAGCAGCAAAAAACGCGCATAAAGCAAAAAGAGAAAAGGCAGTACTGTATCTTACCCGAAACATCCCATCACGTGAAGATGAGCACCGATTCTAATAGGTCAATCACAACCCGGGTTAAGGTACAGATAGCCAATTACAGATTAGGTATCAAGCCTTCATGAACAACATAGACTTGATAGTATGGTGAATTATGCTCAATAAACTATTATGTGAAGTCGCTACACATGTCCCCCCAGAATTCACCATAGCAGAAAAAGCAAACGTGGAGGAGGACAGACTGGCCGGCCACGGCGGCTCCGTTGAACGGGGCAAGGGGCTGAAACAGGGCCCGCGGGAATGACCGGTCCCCTGCGGTGGCGTGCAGCCGGAGCAGGGGTTGGCAGCAGGCCTGGTGGCCGCCCCCAGCGGGGGGTTCTGGCCAGGTCAACAGGCTGGCTCAGGTCCAAGTGAGCCGGCTTAAGGCGGTCAACAGAGAGGCGTTCCGGGGTCCCGCCCACATCGACAAGGAAGTGTTTGTCGCCAGCCTCTATAACACAAAAAGGGCCCTCGTAAGGAGGTTGAAGGGGGCCCCGGTGGGCGTCGCGTCGGACAAAAACATATTCCACCGATCGCAGACCTGCAGGCACGTGAGATAGAGGAGAACCATGGTGAGAAATGGGCCAAGGAGCGAGACGGGCAGCTTTGTCTAGCAACAGGGTGCGCTGCTGCTTGGCGGACCAGGGAGCCATGCTATCGGGGAGAAATTCCCCTGGGACCTGTAAAGGTTGCCCATATACCAGTTCAGCCGAGGAGGATTGGAAATCAGCCGTAGGGGCTGTTCTGAGGCCCAGCATGACCCACGGGAGCCTATCCACCCAGTTGCCATCCTTGAGGCTGGCCCGGAGGGCGGCCTTCATGGAGCGATGGAAACGCTCACACAGCCCGTTGGACTGAGGGTGATAAGCAGTAGTACGGTGGAGCTTCACACCCAAACAGTCTGCTACAGCAGACCAGAGCTCCGAAGTGAACTGTGAGCCGCAGTCAGAGGAGAGGTCTGATGGGGTGCCGAAACAGGCAACCCAGGACCCGATGAAGGCGCGAGCAACCTCCGCGGATGTAAGAGCTGAAAGTGGAACAGCTTCGGGCCAGCGAGTAGTTCTATCCACCATGGTGAGAAGGTAAGTGAACCCGTGGGAGGGAGGTAAGGGGCCCACCAAGTCGAGGTGGACATGATCGAACCTCCTTTCCGGGATTTGGAACTGCGCAAGGGGGGCCTTGGTGTGACGGTGGACCTTAGCACGCTGGCAATCCATGCAGGCAGCAGCCCAACGCCTGACATCCTTTTTAAGCCCGTGCCAGACGAACTTGGCTGCCACAAGCCTCTGAGAGGGCTTTGTGCCGGGGTGGGAGAGGCTATGGACAGCGTCAAAAACCCGTCGCCTCCACTCAGCAGGAACCACAGGACGGGGGCACCCTGTGGAGATGTCGCAAAGGAGTGTAGTGCCGGCGGCATCAAAAGCCACGCCCTTCAACTGCAGACCAGTGCTCGCTGTCTTGAGGGCCTGCACACCTGCAAGCGTCGGGGGATGGGTGCGCCAGCATTGTTGCATGAGCCAGCGCGGCTTTAGTGGCCTCGAAAGCCTCAGCCCTCTCAGTGGGCCAAGGTGCACCTTGGTCAGCACCCATAGCCTTGTAGTCGAG